TATCCAAAGTGCACATCATTATGAATCTTACTCTCTTCCTTTCCCACCTCCATTGCACATGTGTTCTAACCCTTCAATATTCCTCAGCCCCTTTATAGACACTAAGATTCTTGGATTTTTTTTCCATATGACTACCAGCACTTCCCACTTCCTACCTAATGTGTACGAAACAATAGCCAGGGAATTCTAGACTTCTCCATTGACCAGCCAATCATATTTACACATATGAGAATGAGGGTTTTTAACCAAGCTACATTTAATCCAGAGAACAATTCTAGAAAATCTAAAGCAAAAAATCTACAGGGACTGATAGGGGATGAGATCGCTCTGAAGTATCTTTCCTAAAAGAGTTGCCTTACTTATTTCTTCTTGCCATTGACTGATTGTGGTGGCTCATAGTCTTATGAAAACAGCTTGCATATCCCCAACTTCTGACAGAAGAAACTGGTCCTAGGCATTGAAGTGATTATAAGTTAGCTATAAAGTTGAAACTAGATCTGGCAGAGCTATTTTCCCCCTCTTCAAAAAAAGAAAAATATTTTAACACAGCATGACTTTTTTAATATGAGGACAAACATCCAAACATTCACAGATCATTGTACCTGTGAAGGAGACATCACTGGGAGCTGAGGATATGTGCACAAAATACAAGAGGACCTGTAACTTAATGAATTTATTAGCCTAATTAATTAGATGAGGCTGTTTGCCTTGATTTCTCAAGAGGCAGCTAAGTCCTAGGAATCAGAGTACCTGCTGCATTTGTGGGTCATTGTTTTGATTGTCAAGGCTGGCCACCACAAAAAGTACCATGCCCAAGGATGGCCTGGTCAGGGGTACGGCATCATTTCTTGGTGGGGAGACATATCACCAGTTATATAGTTGTATCTCACCTTAAAAGATGAGAAAATACTATAACAAAAATACCTTAGACTAGATAATTGATAAACAACAGAAATGTGTTTCTCTCAGCTCTGGAGGCTGGGAAGCCCAAGACCAAGATGCTAGCAGATTCAGTGTCCACTGAGGGCTGGCTCTCTTCAAAGATGGCACCTTTAGCTGTGTTCTTGCACGGTAGAAGGAACAGAAGAGCAAAAAATAAAGAAGAGGTTCCCTTGAGCCCTTTTATAAGACCACTAATGCCACTCACAAAGGCTGAGTCCTCATGACCAAATCATCTCCTAAAGACCTCATCCTTTAGTCCTGTTGCACTGGGGATTGAATTTGAACACATGCGTTTTGGAGGGACACTTTCCAACCACAGCAGAAGTGAGAGGAAGGGCAGTGAGGATGGAAACCCACTTCTGCTGCATTGCCATCCGCTGACTCCCCTGCTCACTGCTGGCCAGATCCTGTGTCTGGTTTTTTTCCTCTCTTTTCCTCTTCCTTGGTACCACCAGATCCATCCTTCTTCCTCCTCTTCTCAACCCTCCACCCCTCTCAGTCATCACAAGCCCACATGCATGACTGTTTCAATCCCCATCTTATTTTTATCACCATGTGAGAGGATCCAGGTTTGTGTACAGTCAGTCCAAGCCAAAGCCATGTGGAGTTGGTAAGAAAAGGATCTTTCAGGGAAGGGGAAATGATTTGTTATGAAGCCCGGCTTAACTTTATGTTGGCATCAAGTGGTAACCCATGCTGATCACGTCTCTGTGCGAGTGATATCTTTATTCTAATCCAAAGTTGAGGAAACTGCCTCAGTGAGGTGAATTGACTTGGACCTACCAACACTCACCCAGCATAACATTGTCCTGTAGGATTGCAGGGGTCTCCATGTTGGTTCTCTGGAAGTGTGGAGATCCAGGTTCTTCCTCAGTGTTGTCAGCCCCAGGAGATCTTTCCTCTCAACTTCCCATCCCCTTCAAAATCCTTCCACAGAACCTGTTCCCACACTATTCCTCAAAATCTTATGTTTTTGGACCACTGAATGAAAATCTCTAGGGTTGAGGCCAAAACATCACCTTTTCCTTAAAGGTTTCCTCAGCAGATGCTCAGGTGCAGCCAGAGTTGAGAACCACACCTGAGTGTACTTCACCTGTCACTCCACAGCTATTCTAGGGAAGGGAGATATTTTGCAACAGGGAGGGAACAGTGAGTTCCAATTTTTCTGTTTGCCTTTTTCAGCCCTGAATCCTGCCCGCCCTTCAGGTCTGATAAGGCCTTATTATTCATCAGGAAGAATGCCATGGTCACACCTTGGGTGCAGGGAGCCAGGCTTAGAGCCTGGTGACTCATTTGTCATCGGGTGATAAGCCTATGACTCTTGATCAGAATAGCAAATGACATACAGACTGACAAAAAGAGAAACCTGCCTAGTTGCAGGCAGTTTTTCTGTTTACCTGTCTATGGAGATGAATTTATATACCAGATGATAGAATCTTCTAGCTGGAAGGGAAGTTCTCATCCCTAGGGTCACTGGTAAGCATGAGGGGTCTCTAGCTATGAGTAGTAGGGTACATTTCCTCCCACTTCCTGGCACCTGCCCCCATCACAGCTCCTATTTCCAGTAAAACCCCTTAAGGAGCTTCCAAAACAGGGAAGACCATGCCCATCCATCCAAACCCAGGCTTCTGGCTCTGGTCTCACAAAGTACAAAATAATGCTGTGTCTTTTCTAACCACAGACTACAAAGAGGGATAGGAATAAGGTAGAAAGAGGTTCTAAAAAATAAAAAAGAGCTGGGTGCCAATGACTTATGCCTGTAATACTAGCTACTCAGGAGGCAGAGATCAGGAGGATCGTGGTTCAAAGCCGTCTGGACAAATAGTTCATGAGACCCTATCTCAAAAAACTCACCACAAAAAGGGGGGAGCTGGTGGAGTGGCTCAAGGTGTAAGCCCTGAGTTCAAACTCCAGTACTGTAAATAATTAATTAATTAATTAATTTCATTAAATAAAAAGGAACTCAGGGCTCTGGTAGACCCCTGATTCAAAGCAGGATCCAGGAGCTCACATCTGTAACCCCAGCTACTCAGAAGGTAGAGGTTGGGAAGATGGAGGTTTGAGGTCAGCCCAGCCAAAAAGTTATGAGACCCCCATCTCAACCAACAAGCCAGGTGTGGTGGTACATGCCTGTCATCACAGCTACAAGGGAGGTACAGGTAGAAGAATTGCAGTGTGAAGCCAGCTGTGGGCAAAAAGTGAAACCCTAGCTGAAAGAACGTAACTAAAAACAGAAGACCAGCTGGTGAGCTCAAGTGGTAGCGTTCAATCCTCAGCTCTGCCAAATGGGAAAAAAAACAAACAGGTTCTGGGATACCTCATAAATCTAGAGGTCAAGAAGGATAGTGCTGTACAAACCTGACCAGCAGAGAGAGGCTTTAGCATCTGAGAGCCTGAGACACAGTGGTTGGGGCTCCAGTCCCTGAGGGCGCCTGAGGCACCAGCAGCAGGTCCTCTTTACCTTGGGTAAAACCACAGCGCTTTCACCTTCCTCCCCCGTCATCTCCCTCTCACTTCCCATCCAACAATGTCAGGAAAGGCCATGGTCCTCAGTCACAGTCACAGCATAGATGCAATGCTTTCAGGTACAAATATTAAACCACTCAGTCAACGGAGTGAGCGACCTAATCATTACTGAGAGTGGAGATAAGTGTAATTGTCATAGAAAAAGGAAGGCATATCCTTTATCCTAGCTGGTTAATTATTTTTGGCTGGTTGCTTGCTTGCTTGCTTTTGGCTATTTTATTTTAATCGGACGCTTTGCCAAGTGCTTCTCAAAAGGAGAAATTATTGTGTTCTGTGGATAGCTTCAGACTTAAAAGATCAGAATTACAGCAATTTTTAAAACCCCTAACAGGTTCCTGGGTAGATTTGAAGTTTGTAAAAGGCCCGTGCAAATGAGATAGGGAGAATGTCTCTAAGTTCCTTGTTTTTCTCAAGTGTTCAGTTTTCTGATAATAACATTCAAAAACAGAATAGCCCTGAATTTATTTCCGGAGGGAAGGGACTGTCCTACCATGTCCTTTGCCTCACTGTCCTTAACCACGGGGCAGGTATGTAGCTTGACTGTCTTAAAAAGAGCTAGGCACAACACCATGAACTATTGTCACATGTGGTTCTTTTGGGTCTACTCACCCAAGGTACTCTCAAAGTGAGAAAAAAATTGAGGCTCAAGACTCCTGCTAAAAATATAATTTTCTCAGGTCATAGAAGGCTTGAAGGCAGAAATTACTTCTCATTAAACTTTATGCCTTCCTACAGTATCTGGCAAAAGGTATTGCCAGGGATTTGAGCTTTAAAATGCATGAGAAGTGAATAAATGAATTCATGGGTGCGTCCGTCAGTATGTTAGTTTGCATCTGTGAGAGCACACTGTAGTCACGTACTGGCTTGAATGCACAGACACTTAAGGGAATGCACAGGAGTGCGATGTGCTTGTTTTTCTTAAGGAGGAAATGAGCAAGGGGCTTGTTCCCAACATTCTGCTGGACCAGCAAAGCCATGAGGCAAGGCTGTGGAGGACATAGGTGACACTCTAGAGCCCTCCTATTTTAGGAGTTGACAGTAGAGTCACTCCAAATCTCATGATTTGGAGTCACCGGTGCTCTAGCATCAGAAGTCAACCACAACTCCAAGATGCCAATGTTGACACTTCTTCCAGTCCATGGCCCACGGCCCTTCATGAAGATGTGAGCTCATATACGAGGATAAGAGAAGAAAGATCTATTTAGATTAGAAGTCCCTTTTGGACGCAGATTATCCAGGTTTAAAATGAGGAAACTGAGACAGACAAATTCCAAGGGCCTTCCTCCAACTCCAACCATCCTACTTTTCTCTTTCTATAGACAGCCATGTGCATGTTCTTCATGAGTCAGAAAATTGTTACATATTTAGCGTTTCCCACAATTCCACGTCTTTCCACAATGACAAGTTTAGTTTATGACTTACTACTTCTCAGTGCTGGTTAGCCATGATTGGTGTGTTTCACTAACCCAGAGCCTAGACAGTTGTGTTGAGGGGCCTAATTTATTCATTGTGTCCTTCCCCTTGTCCCACAGCCATGCTGCAGGCAGTGCGAGCCCTAATGATTGTGGGTATTGTACTGGGTGTCTTCGGCATCCTGGTGTCCATCTTCGCCCTAAAGTGCATTCGAATTGGCAGCATGGAGGACTCTGCCAAGGCCAAGATGACCTTGACCTCTGGGATCCTGTTCATCATCTCAGGTAAACATGGGTTCCCTCCCTCAAATGCGCTCCTGGGAATGTCAAGGCAAAATCATTCTGGGTAGAGGAAAAGTGGTTCTTCCCTATTACTAAGTACAACAGCATTCAGAGCTTTTCATACTGGGACTCAAGAGCTGAGTATGGAGGTTTTATTACACTCCACAGAATCATCGTGAGTGCTGGGCGCCTCTTAGCTGACACTCCAGCCCCACTATAAGAGGCTCAGCCCTAAGGTACTCAATCATATGGCTGGATCCTTAAGAGACATCTTCTTGGTGAGACTCTAGAAAGTGATTTTAAGAGATCTCTGAAGTCATCCAAAGATCAAACTCAAAATATTTGGACTATTTACCCTTGGGTCCCAGGATGCATAGAAAATCTCTTCCTACTCACATGCGTGAGTCCTTCCAGAATTAGCTAGATAAGAGTTAAATAAGCACCTAGCCCACTGTCTCACATGGTGAGAATTAATACTCAATGATTGGATTGGCCATTGTTACAGGAGTGGAATCGTCAGCAGCCCACTCATCTGAAGAGTGTGATCCTTACAACTGGGCTTTCTCATTCTTTGCCCACAGGAATTTGTGCGATTATTGGAGTGTCTGTGTTTGCCAACATGCTGGTCACTAACTTCTGGATGTCCACAGCTAACATGTACAGCAGCATGGGTGGGATGGTACAGACTGTCCAGACCAGGTAACCTTCTAATGCCACATCTCAGAACTCTGGGGTGATGGCTGTTGTAAGAATCCGATTAAACGCATGTGCCTAACGTGACTGTCAGTGCCTGAAATGGCGAGAATTTATCAGAGGCAACCATGCTAGATCGTAAATCAACAATGATCTGTAAATTCATAAAGTTCATTTCTGTGAAACATCCTTGGTGATCTGACATTTGCACTGAAATACAGTGACACTTCACAGTGTTTATCTAACACTCTTACACAGGCCCCATTGTGGTGACAAAAAAACAGGCCTTATTAACCCAGGCATATAAATGAACATCGATTTACATTTACAGTCCATAATGGGAACCTGGCTAGGAACAGGTAAAGGCTTGAATGGAAATGAGCAAGGTACAGAACAGGTAAGGGAAGTGTTGGTTTTTCTTCTACAGCTGCCTCTTTCTCTCATCCATTCATTTATTCATTCTGCAAACGTGCTGAGCACCTGCTGTGGGCCAGGGAGTGTTCAGGTGCTGCAGATAGACCAGGTCCTTGCTCTCATGAAGATTACACTCCAGCACAGGAAGATGAAACTCTACTATCATCTGATACCTAAAGAAGGGCAGAGCTTTTAAAAGACAGAAAAGCAGTAGCAACACCTGTATTCATTTAGTCACTTGAAATGGATGTATCTGATACAAGAAGCAAAAGGAAAATCCCAAAGGAGAAAGATGTTGTTCTGAGAGAGTGAATAAATATGATACTTAAGTGACCTGTCTTCTCTGCAGAAGATGCTCCGGGTATTTTTGCAGCCACGCCAACATGAGGTGCAGACAGGGTGTGTGATGTGATAAATCCATTACTGTCTGGCCCCCCTGGGACTCCAGTTCCCATCTGTGTGTCTGCTTTGTTTCAAGAGCAAGAAGAAAGCAATCCCTATAAGCTACCTTCATCCTTTCCCATGTTCCCCCATGGTCTCTTGGTAGTAGGCTGACCACCTCATTCCTGTTTGCCTGGGACTTTCTAGTTTTAGCACTAGAATCCCCCCATCCTGGAAAATTCCTACATTATGGGCAAAACAGAGTGTCTGATCACTCTACTTAGAAATGGAACCCACCCTACCCAGAATATCTGGGTGCCCGCCACTCATCTTGCACCCAGCACTAATGCCTGCTGCCACTCACACTACTTCCCTAGCTCCTGTTTCTGTCCCTTGGTTGGCAGTTCCAGTCCTATAATTAAGATTAAATCTTGAAAAGCCTCCTAAACTTCCATCTTCATGGATGGGCAGCTGCCTTTCCCCTTCTGTTTTCTCATCTTCTCTATCCAGAAATCAAATAAGAGAACCCAATTGCCAAGAAAGATTCCTGTGGTCACTTGGTGGGCTTTGGCTCCATCTCCCGTTAGATCCTAGTAAACCGTCATTCCCCTGTCCCTCCACTCAACCGTTGCTGTGGTGTGTGCATCACTGGCAAAGCCTAAGCCGTGGATGACAATGACAAACTGTCTGCCCTGGCACTGCACATAAACCTGCAAGGTATTTTGGATTGACCTAAACATTTCATTTTATAATAGAAATTAAACATCAATTTTTGAAGCTAGAATTGTCACAGTTGGGTTTCTCCGAAACAGACCTTGAGAATCGGGTCCCTGTGTAAGAAAGAGTTTACTGAGGAAGGAGACACTGGCTAGGGTGTAGGGGAAGCAAGACAGGAAAGGGGGAGGTCCAGTCATGATTTCAGGGGTGTCTCAGAGTTGGCCTCAGCTGCACAGTGTGAATCACATCTCAGCGTTGTCTCTGCTCCAATCTGAAGAACTGGGCTTTCATGCTTCAGTGCCAGTCACCCTGTGCACATGGCCAAAGTGGCTCCAAGAGCTGAGCCAAAGCCAGGGCTCCAGGGAGAGTCACAGGGATCAGTAGATAAAGGCAAAAGAATGACAAGCTGGAGAAGCAACATAGAGAAATGGCTAAAGGGGCAGAGCACAATTAATGCCTGTACAAGAAGATTTCACACTCATCTGTTTTTTTCCAACTTCCTTTATAAAATAAATAAATAATCAGATCCATCAGCACTGGGCCTTCTTTCTCATAAGGCACCATCTGTGCAGCTGCCTATTTAGCTGGGGCCCCTGCTCTCCAGTTTGCCACAGTCCCCACTGCTCCCCAGTGGCCCAATTCTGAGGCCATTTATTGTAATGCTTATAGGATTTTCCCCATGTGTTAGAGACAAGAAAATGAAATATTTTCTTGTATCCAGCTTACCTCACTTATTTAAGTTTCTTACCTGTCCCAGGTAAGTATTTAAGCTTGCTAACCTTGACCGAGAATGTCTATCTTGAAGAGAAAGAACTCGTTTCCATGCACAAGGTTGAGTTTTGAAGGCAGAGTGACCTGAATTTAAATCCTTACAGTGCTGTGTCCTTCCCCAGTATTTGGAGAAGTTATTTAACCTCTCTGACCCTCACTCTCCTCATCTGTGATGTGGGAATGGTAAATCCTATTACAGTGACTATTGGGGGAATTAAATGAGATGGTGGTGAAAATAGCAATAAAGGCTCAACAAATAGTAGCAATTGTCTGTCACTAACATTGGATAAATCACTAAGCCATCTATAAAGGTGTGAAGGGTGGAGCTCTGTCTGTGTCAGGATAGAGGCAGGAAGGTCACCATAGACTCCCCACAAAGAACCACAGGAAAAGGTCTGCTGTTCAGCCCCCAGCCACCCTGAGTAGAAGGAGATGGGAGGGGTTCTTCATTCCAGGTTAGCAGTTCTCCAAAGGAATTCCTAAATTTCCTCCCAGAACTTTTTCAAAGGCTCAGGTCAGTCAACCAGTTTTGCCCTCCATGTTACACTTGGTCACAAGTCTTATATTGCTTTTTTTTGATCAGACAAAATGTGGTGTGCTTTTTAAGCACATCGAAAGTACCATATTTCCTGAAGTTGCAGGGGACTGCACAAGAATTGCTGTCTTCTACAGTTGGCATTATATTCTTAGCTCATGTAGTCTACTAAATATTAGTAGTGACTTATGGTGTTCTACAAATAGCCCCCATACTCTTGAAGGGCCACAAAGGAAAGCCAGTAGGGGAGACATCCACTGCACTGAGCTCTCCTTTTCTGCTTACAGATGGAGGTCAACTCACTAGCCAGCCTCAAGATACCCACTGACATCCTAGCAGTTTTTAGCTCCTAAGAATTTTAGTATATCTCCTTCCACCATCCAAAAGAGTCTATTTGAGATTGCAATTATAAATAATTGAGAAGTAAATTCTCAGGAGATTTTATTGTTGATTCTGTTCTGAGGTAATTGCGTTCCTTTGGAGATGACCCTCTTTGGGGAAGGCACTGGCTTTGGAGTCAGACATCCGGGGTTAGAATTTTTCTATGTACTAGAATAAGAACATCATGAGGCTAGGCACTGTTGGCTCAAGCCTATAATCCTAGCTACTTTTGGGAGGTTGAGATCAAGGGGATCATGGTTTGAGGCCAACCCAGACAAATAATTTGTGAGATCCCATCTTCAGAATAACCAGAGCAAAATGGACTGAAGTTGTGGCTCAAGCAGTAGAGCACCTGCTTCCCAAGCATGAAGCCCTGAGTTCAAACCTCAGTCCCACCAAAAAAAGAAGAAGCATTATAAGGGAAGGCTCTCTGTCTATCTTGTTAACCTCTATATATCAGTGCCAGGGTAGTTCTAGGCACATAGTAGGAGCTCAACAAATACTTCTTGAACAAAAGAATAAATGAAAGAAAGAAAGAGTAATCATTTCAATTTCTTTCTGAAGATAATATTCCTGCTTGCATGGATGATTGCAAAGTATATTTCTCAGCTTCCCATTACTATACCAAAATTCCTGAAATCATTAACTTCTAAACAGAAAAATGTTATTTTGGCTGATGGTTCGAGAGATTTCAGACCAAGCTTAGATGGACTCATTGCTTTGGACCTCTGATAGGGGTGTCAGGTAGCATGGTGAAGACTGTGTGGCAGAGCAAATTGCTCACCGTATAGCCAGGAAGTATTAAAGAAAGAGAGAGGAGGCCAAGGTCCCATAATTCCCTTTGAGGCATACCTTCAATGACCTAAGGACCTCCTGAAAGTTTCACCACCTCCCAATATCACCATCTTGGGAACCAAACACTTAAAAGATTGACCTTAGGGACATCCAACATCCAAACCATAGCACAAGGGTTACCTGAGCTAAGTAAGATGTATACATCCTGGCCCACAGTGAAAACCCAAGCACTAAAATTCCTTCAGAAATAAAAACCTGAAAAACTGAGTCCATATCTCAGAAACTTTTCTTGCCTAACCTTCCACTTTCACCAGTAAGAGGGGAGGGTGACCCTGAAAAGGAGGGCAGAGAGGAGGGGCATGGGCAAGAGCAGTGACAGAGTCCTCAGAGTTGAGTCAACTGTGTTCACACACCATCTCTCCATTCAGGTACACCTTTGGTGCAGCTCTGTTCGTGGGCTGGGTCGCTGGAGGCCTCACGCTCATTGGGGGTGTGATGATGTGTATTGCCTGCCGGGGCCTGACACCTGATGAAACCAAGTGAGTCCTCCCATCCCAGTGCAGCCCAGAGTGGACTCTGGACGCCCCATTCATCCAGAGTCCATTTTCATATATAATTTACAGCCAGAATGATGAGTCCAAATATTTGGAAGAACTTTACTGACTATACATTCATTGAACTTTTGCTTTAATAGCAAACCTAAATAACAGAGCAAGAATATTTGAACCTAAGATTTAGGAGTGACACTGTTTGAAGGGAAAAATATATTCCTCTGGGTTCCTGCTAGCTCCAGTAGTCCATAACTCAGTAGTCCTCAGCTGGGAGAAGTTTTGTACCACAACACCACTATTGGCAACACCTGAAGGCACTTGATTGTTAAAACTTTGGGGGGGAATAGCAATGGCAAATGATACTGACTTCTAGTGTAGACCAGGGTAGACATCCTATAGCACACAGGACAGTCACTCACACCAAAGCAGCATCCATTCCAAAATGTCAATAGCACTACCATTGAGAAACCCTGCTATCACTCCACAAAGGGCCTAGAGTTCAGTGTGGTTCTACTGTTAACCAGCCCATGACCTCCGCCAAGTCAAATGTCCTCTTTGGGCTTCTGTGTTAGTCTGCTTGAGCTTTTATGACAAAATATCACAGAATGGGTAGTTTATAAATAATAAAAATATATTCCTTATCATTCTAGAGGCTGGAAAGTCCAAGACCAAGGTGCCTATAAGTTTGGTGTCCAGTGAGGGCCCAGTCTTCATTTCCAAGATGGCGCCTGGTTGCTGCATTCTCTGCAGGGGAGGACCACTGTGTCCTCACATAGAAGAAGGGATGGAAGGGCAAGAGAGAGCTCCCTTCAATCTCAAGCCCTTTTATAAACCCCTAGTCCCTTGTAACTTAATCACTTTCCAAAAAGCCCGACTTCTTAATATCACCTCAATGGAGAGTAAATTTCAATGCAAATTTTGGAGGATGTGTATTCAAACCATAGCAGCCTCTGTCACCTTATCCATAAAATAAGCAAATTAGAGGGCATAGATCACACATAAGTATACCTTCCGGCTTACAAATTCTATGATGCTTTGACTAAACCATTTTCCTTTGAACTTTGTTTCTTGTTCACCTATCATTTTCATTGATAAACAGAAATAATTCACTAGTCGCTGTCAGCTCCTTGAAGCTGTAATGTAAAAACAAGAAATTCTGCCTCACTGCACAGACAGAAAGCTAGTGTCTGAAAGAGTAGGGTGACCAGCTGTCTTGATTTGCCCAGGACAAATGAGCAAGGACAGTGGACCTTTCAGTGCTAAAACTGAGATAATCCAGGGTAAGTGGGGAGGTTGGTGGTCCTACTAAAGCCATTTGTGCTCATGGATGTTCATGGACTGTTTCTTTTGCTTTCAGCTACAAGGCTGTGTCTTATCATGCCTCAGGCCACAATGTTGCCTACAAGCCTGGAGGCTTCAAGGCCAGCACTGGCTTTGGGTCCAACACCAGAGATAAGAAGATCTATGATGGGGGTGCCCGTGCAGAAGATGAGGTACAATCTCATCCTTCCAAGTACGACTACGTGTAATACTCCAAGACCTCCCCCAGAGGGGGTAGAAGAAACCCCCCAGCAAAGGAGATCCCCCCAAAAAAACAAGGAAATTCTACCTTGATAACATATTGCTTTGGACTCACAGCTGGAAGTTCACAAAGCTTTGATTTCATCTTTAGTGAGGTCAGATGACCTTGGCCACACATCTCTGTCTCTAAATATTCCAACACAAAACCACTGAGTTATCATTTATAAATTGGAGGCTATATGGTTCTCATATTCCAATCCTCTGCTTTTTTAATATTACCTTTTTAATGTGATGATAGAATGTGGTTTGACACCTTGATGTTAGGTAGATTTTCCCTCCTTCTTCTAGTTAACAAACCCATTGATGATCTATTTCCACCTTGCCTCCCCCAAGAAATTTTTGAAAAGAAAAAAAAGAGAGTCAGTCAAAAGACATCATTTTCTGATATTTGATTTTTGTCTCCCACACCCCCAAATTGACTGGTAATAAACACTGACTAGAGAACAAATAATAGACAAAAGATATTTGTGATCTCCCTATCACATTATCTGAGTTTCCTTACACCATTATCCTAAGAGTTACTTGACACAACTGATTTCTAATTTGAAGCAATCAAGCCTTTCTGCTTTTGTTGGTATCTGCTAATTCCAGAAAAAACACCCAGGGTTTCCTGAGCTCTTCACTGGAAGTCCTCTTTCTCTTGCAAGTCAGAAATTGTCCTTAGAGGAATAAGAAAAGAGTTTTGTTTTGTTTTGGCAATCTAATTCCTAAGTGTACTTGAAATAAGTAATGCATTAGCAAAATGACATACTATCTCTGTGAATTAGTCTCACCCCTGCACATAGATAGAAAAAATAGTCTTCAATATTATCTGTGTTGTACTCTGTTACATGCTAAGTCCAAATTTCATGATCCTAACTCTTTCCTTTTGAGGTCTCCATGGCTCTGACTTCAGATGATAAAAGTATAGACTGTGTTTTAAAAAAAAAAAAAGAATGGAGGACTGGCAGAATGGCTCAGGTGGTGAAGAACCTGCCTAACAACTGTGAGGCCCTGAGTTTAAACCCTAGTACCACCAAAAAAAAAAAAAAGAGCCTGAATTGAATGTCCTATGTCCATTCTTGCATGGCTACAGCTACTTACTTGACACTACAGTAGCGCTTACCTGACACTGGTCAGTTTTGTTAGTCTGACAGCTGTTCCCTTCACCAGTCACCTGATGGTTGGCACATTGGATGTTCGGGCCAAATCGAAAGTTCTTTGCAGCCACACACCTTCCCTGTGTTTGCATCACTGCCCTTTTGAGCAGAAAGCCTGGATTCCTTCTTCCAGGACACAAAAATCCCATTCCAACCCCAAGGTCAGAATTAGCTCCCTGGGAAACTGAGACAAGGGCAGTCTTTCAAAACCACCAAACCAAGAGGCAGCAGTGGTACTAAGAGAATGTGGCTATTTGATTACTGTTGTGTGCGGGAAAGTCTTTACACCAATAGTGCATGTGAAAGTGTAGCCTCTAAGAGCTTGGTGAATGTTCAGAGGGGTCTTCAGGCTGAGCAGAATATGTCTGGAAAAAGACCAGATCATAGTCCATTAAGCAAGATGGAATTGTGTTCACCAAGAGCCGGAGCAGAGACCTGCCACTGAGACACCAGTAGGATTAGATCAAATTGGAAAGGGCGCTCCTGCAACTCACTGCCTGGGGCAGGACAGAAGATCAACTTGAGAAGGAAAATGGAGGGGAAATGAGCATTGTTTAGGGTCCTCAGGATATGAGTTGAAGGTCACCACTTTGAGTTGAAGGCCCTGGGTTCAAAGAGCTTCCTCCCTTACCACCAGAAAGTCCCCAATCAGATCTAAGCCAACAAGGCTCCACTGGGTTTTCAATAAGCACATTTTCTATCCAACATTTAATTGTTTAAAAGCCTCCTAAATATAGTTAGACTATGCTTTGTAATGTTTTGTTGTATCTTTGACTTGTTGTGTTTGCATTGAGTATTGACTTGCATGTTTTGTTACTTAAATATTAAAAACACTGTTATCCTCCATCTGAATAACTGTTATCATTTTTTTAGGAGGTGGAGGTGGAGGTGGGAGGTCTCAGTACCTAAAGCTGAATGCTTCTTCCCAGAATAGCTTCTGCTTGTAGAATCTGTGTCCAGTGTTGAAGCATCCTAGCTGCCAGGAAGCCAGCTAGGTCTGTGGCCATCCCAGTTAATGGTTTCTACAAATTGAGAAGCCTTAATGAAAAGGGGTTGAGCCAGGTTAACCTGACTGATCCTAAGTGCACCAGCCTCAATTAGCTGCTGTTGTTGGCCTGTCAATGACCCAGTGAAACTAGAGAGCCAATGCCTGCCTTCTTGGTGCTTCCCAGGGCTGGGTTGACTAGCTCAGTAATCTATACTCACTAAGTCTTCATAAGTCTATAGAAATACATGAGCTGCAAGTCAGAACAGCCTAGCCTCCACTCCAGGTCACACCACTTCCCAGCTATTATTGTAAGCAGTACACTTAACCCTTCTGAGTCTCCCTTTCCTCATCTACAGAAGGGGACTAAATGGGATAACAGAATAATATGGATATAGGACCTACTTAAGTGATGGGCACTTGAGTTTTATCACTGGAATATATAAGGCCAGAGTTGCTTTAGGCGTAGCTGGATGGAGGGATACGATCAACAGTCTATCAATAGTCTCTGCCTGTCTCAGTTCTGCTTCCCTCTGTTGGTTTCCTTCTTGAGAAGATTGTCCCACAGGATAGCAGTCAGAGTAGCTCATATGTTCAAGCATAAAGCCATGTATCAAGGCGAGGAACCTAGCCAAAAGGAGGCATCTCTTTCCTGATAAGCCTAGGAGACAAAATCCTGGCAAAACTTAACTGGGCAATTTGAATCGTGTCCCATCTTTCTAGTCAGAGCAGTGGTGGTCAACTTGGCCAAGCCTCAGCCATCCAATCAAAGTGGGGAGAACTGTTATATGCTACAAAGAATGTATTGTAAGGACCCAGAGTCCTTAGACATCAGACAAACTCAGTGTTTCATCCTATTGTTTTCCTCCTTTGCTTGAATGTGGATTACAAAACAAACTTCAGAGGTCTAATTTCTGTTTCTCTCTGACCAAAAACCAAACAGCCTATAGTACAGAAAAGTTCTCTAAGAAGGCCCTCTGAGTCTCCAAGAGAACTGATTTTTGAAACTTAGAAATGTGAAGAAAAAAAAAAACCACTTTACATTCAATTTTAAATAAGTAAGATTACAAAAGTGGTTAGTTACAGATTGTCCTCAGGGGCATGGGTGTAGAACACATGGTGAGTGTGTGCAAGGCCCTGGGTTCAATCCCCAGCACAAAAGAAAGGGAAATGAAGAGAAGGGGAGGGGAGGAGAGGAGAGGAGAGGAGAGTGAAAAAAGTAGAAAAAGAAAAGCTGCCCTCTGGTATACAGTGTTATTCAAATTTATATTTCCTAAACTTTAGGGGCATTTTGAAGACTCATTATATGGAAATACAGAAATGGATGAATCAAGCCATGAGTACATGTTCAAAGGATGACTCACCACTCTACCCACAAAAATCCCTGGGAGTCCGCAGTAAACACAACTGAGTGTTTTACCTTAAGGTCCAGAAGCAAGGGGTGTAAGCAATCTTTCAATGCAGTACCCCATTCTCTTACCTTTTTCTTGGGTAGCATCCAGCCCCTCCTGCCACATTAAATGCCTGCTATCTCAGAACCAGTGCATTCCACTGGAGAGAGCACTGGACTCCTGGTCCCGACTCCACTGCCAACCAACGATGTGGCTTTGCAGGATCAATTACCATGATTCACAAAAGTGTTCCTTATTTTATTTCTTTGCTGAATCCTTGTGAAGATCAGTACTGTGCTTAGTTCTTTACGTTCTTTATCTCCATTCCTTTAGGGACCTGGTCTCACCTGTGACCAGTCTGAGAGCTCCAAAGCTCCTAGACACTGATCAGGAATCACACCCACACAAACTCAGAGACAGAGAGAAAGAGAGAGAGAGAGAGAGAGAGAGAGAGCACTGATCATTTCTTTGTTTTCTCTGTTCTTCTGCATTTGCCTCAGGACCAATCTTGAGCTATTCAGCATCCCCCAGCTGCAGCCAGGCTGGTTGCTTAGACCTCACACCCCATTGTTGAAAAGGAAAGGGGTTTTCTTTTCGCAATATCCCAAATAAATGTCAAGTAAGCATGTGAGGTGTTAAGAATGGAGGATATGGGGAATTATCCTTGTGGTTTAATATTAAGTGTGAGATATGATGTTGCCGAAACAAAATGTCAGTAAATTGCTTTAAATGCATTCTAATTCCATTCTGGAGCAAGAGGGTTTCATTTAGAGACCAAAAAATATCTATCAGCAATAGGTTTAACACTAAAGGCAGCTAGCCACGACCTAACAGCCAAATGACATGACACCTCTCAGCCACACCCAATAGGGAGTTGATAAAAGAAGCCACAGAATTCTTTCTCTGAGAAACTTAGAGTTGGATCCTCCTTGGAGATGAAAGAACATACAAGTGCTGTCCACAGGAAGCTTTGTGGTTTGTCCTATTAATTCAATTTGTGGCTGGGGGAATGTAAAGGTGATGTTCTAATTAACATGAAAGAAAATTAAATATATTTGTCCTTTAATCCAGGAATTCTCCTTCAGAGTTCTCTTTTTTTTTTTTTTTTTTAGAGGGGAAATTCTTTTATAATCTTGGAGTAGAGAAAGTCTTTTCAAAACAAGACTCAAATTCCTTCAGAGTTCTCTTAAGGAAGCAAGGCCAGTAATCCCAATGCTTAAAAAGCTGAGACAGGTGGATTTCAAATTCAAGGCCAGCATGGGCTCTAGAGTGAGACTCTGTCTCAAAAACAAATCTCCTGCTGATGCCAGTTGCTCACACATGTAATCCCAGCTACTTGGGAAGCTGAGTTCAGGAAGATCACAGTTCAAGCCTGGCAAATAGTTTGCAAGACCCTATGTCCAAAATAACCAGAGCAAAATGGACTGGAGGTGTGGCTTAAGTTGTA